AAAGTCACACTTGGGGGCTGCTGACTAGGCCACCCTGAAACAGGAGAACTAATTTCCCATAAAGGATCTGTATTTTTACAGTTTACTAAGAAACCATCACTGAACTTGTGTAGAAATGAAAACTGTACTGCAGTGCTCATCAGGGCATATTTATGAAAACATTTTCCTTCTCTTCTCTTGGGAAAAATGTAGTTGAGAACATTCTAGAAGAACTACATTTTTTCTAGAATACATTAACTTTATCTTCACCAAGATGACCAACTTCAGCAGTTGACCCTGGAAATAGGTCATCAAAATGACCTTTTAAATTTTCCAGGATAGGAGAAAAGGCTATAGAAATGTCATAAAATCTGAGTTCTAGAAATGCATTTCATGTAGACACCTCAGACATGACATAAAATCTTGGTTTTGAGCACTCTGTCAGCTTATCGCTTGGTTTTATTATAAAACCCTAGTCATTTAGAGGTTTCTTTATTTGACCTGCCACGAAGACAAACTGCAGGGCCCTAAGCAGGGGTGGCGAGAACATAGACTCGCTCCTTCTCAGAACTGGCATTACAGCAAGTATGGACTTCAAGTCAAATCGTGGAAACAAAACTCAGTTGCTTTTTAAATATCAAAAATAGCAAAGGAGTCCCTGCCCCGGCCCCTCCCTGCCCTGCCCACTCAGCTAGCTTCCTTCTAATTTTAGCTGTGCCTCACTGGGGTCTTGTGAGGAGGAGGAACCTTGGTGGGAGATCAGCCTGGGAAATGATAATAGGAATGAGAGAATCCGTGCCTCAGATCAGTCAAAATCCAGGACTGAGCCCCCCCAAGACATACTTTCAAGAGAAAGCCACTAAGGAGGCTGTCACATGATGTCACAAAAGATATCCATCCCAGAAGATAAGCCATTTTCAACAGACATATAAGATTAATGAAAAAACACAGGCAGTCAAGTGAATTAAGGAAGGCCAACACAGGATCTGGAGGAGAATTGACAGGAGTCAACGGAGGAAACAAGGCGCTCTATGGGTCAGATATAGAATCATTACTTGGCTGCCTCAGTAACGTTAGGTCAAGCATAAGAAAAAATGACAGACATTAAAGACAGATTATTTGGATCTGACACTAACAATCCAAATATATATATATATATATATATATATGTGTGTGTGTGTGTGTGTGTCTTATGTATGTATACATGTGTGTGTATAGAATATATATATATATCCAGGTATACATATAATGTGATATATATATATATATATATATATATAGAGAGAGAGAGAGAGAGAGAGAGAGAGAGAGAAAGAGAGAGAGAGAGAAAGGGAGGGGGAGGGAGGGTGACAGAGAGAGAGAATATGCAAGAGCTTTGGGATGTTAAAAATCATCTATTCAGATTACTGGCACATGGGAAAGAAGAGCTACAAGCTGGGGCCATGAAAAACCCCCTCAGTAAGATAACAGCAGAAAACTCCCCAAATTTTGGGAAAGACAAGGACATTCAGGTACAAGAAGCATTTAGAACCCTAAGCATAGATAACCACAGAACTATGTCACGGTAACATAGCATAGCTAAGTTGTTTAAAGTATAGGACAACACAGTTCCAGAGAAGCTAGGTAACAAGGAGAACCTTAAGAGAGACATACATGGATCACTCTGGGAAGAGGAATTAGACAAGATCTCCTGAGTAAATTTGGAGAATGGGGTTGGAAATAAGGGAGGGCAGGAGGGGAGGGTGGAAGGGAAAATGAAAGGAGGAGGGAATTGGAAGGTCAGGATGGGGGAAGAAAGGAGAAGAAGAGCAAGGAAAGAGATATCTTGACTGAGGAAGCCATTATGGGGCTAGTGAGAAACTAGTGAAATTCCCATGAATTCACAAGGATGACCCCAGCTAAGACCCTAAGCAATAGTGGAAAGTGGGCCTGAACTGGCCTTCCCCTGTAATCAGATTGATGGCTACCTTAATTGTCACCATAGAACCTTCATCCATCTACTGACGGAAGCAGATGCGGAGAACCACATCCAGTGGAGCACTGGGCTGAGTCCCAGAGTCTAATCATAGGGAGGGAGGAATAATGATATGAGCAAAGGTGTCGAGACCATGATGAAGATACTCACAGAAATACCTGACCTGAGCTAGTGGGAGCTCACTGACTCCAGACTGACAGCAGGGTCGGGGGAGACCTTCATAGGACCAAACTAGGCCCTCTGAATGTGGGTGACAGTTGTGTGGCTTGGGCAGTCTGTGGGGCCACTGGCAGTGAGACCAGGATTTATTTCTAGTGCATGAACTTACTTTTTGGAGCCCATTCTCTGTGGAGGGATACCTTGTTCAGTCTAGATACTGGGGGATGGAGGGGGCGAGGCTTGGCCCTGCCTCAAAGCACTGTGCCAGACTTTGTTGACTTCCCATGGGAGGCCTCACCCTCTCTGAGGAGTGGATGGGGGGAGGGGCAGGGAGAACAGGAGGAAGGGAGGGAGTGGGAACTGGGATCACTCTGTTGATCCCAGAATGAAGCTGGTTATGGTGTTTGACTGAGAATGAACCCTATAGGTTCGAGCATTTGAACACTTAGTCTCCTGTTTCTGTGGTTCAAGCTCTGAGCTCTCAGCTGTTCCTGCTGTCCTGCCTTTGCTCTGCAATCATGAACTCTAACCCCCTGAACCTATAACCCCAATGAAATGCTTTCTTTTCTTTTGATTTTTGGATTTTGGGTGTTTGTTCTGCTTTGTTTTTTCTAGACAGGGTTTCTTTGTGTAGCCTTGGCTGTCCTAGTAAGCCAGGCTGTCCTCAGCTCAGACTTCCTCCTGCCTCTGCCTCCCAATTACTGGGATTAGAGGCGTGTGCCATTGCCACCCTGCTTATGCTTTCTTAAACAAACAAACAAACACAAATGGCAGGACCTGGGGAGATGGCTCAGAGTATGAACTGCTTGCCAAGCAAACACAAGGACCTGAGTTCAGATCTTCAACATTTTGAAAAAAGCCAGGCACTGAGTGAGGAAGATACCCAGTAGCAATGTCTGGCATCCATAGGCAAACACAGAACATGTGCACACACACACACACACACACACACACACACACACGTACACGTGTGTACACATAAGGCACAAAGCACAAACCTGGACTATTAGCACTTATCCTGGCAGGCATCTTGTCTCTGCCATTTGGCCTTCAGTTAGTAAAAAACGTTCAAATGGCCACGACTGATTTCCCTTGGGTAGAGGAATGGAGTAATCTTTGTCAGAGAGACAGAAAGAAGGGTTGCTCTATGTATGCTCGCAGGCTAGTCTGTGTGACCCCAATTGGGCTTAATGCTGTGTAGAGTGCACGAAAAAGACAAATGTGTATCAAAGGTGTGAGTTATTGGGTACGAGCATCATACACAACAGTTTATATAAACTAAATGGCTCATACGTACATCTAAAGTAGTTACTGTCAACACCAAAAGTCACTTTTTATTTTTTTAGGTATGCTTTCTATACATGATTCTCAGAACAGAAAAACAAAGAAAGCTACTTAGGGACAATGGCTTCAGTACACAAGAGAGGACTTGCTAGGAGTAAGGAAGAACAAGGATTCAGTACCGAAAGCAATTGAACCAGCCTCACTTGCTCCTGGGAAGCCTGGTGTTTAGACCCATGACTGACAGTAAATGCCGAGCAGTAAAAGGTGTGTGTCATGTTTAAAAAATGAGTGAAATCTTGCAGGGTCAAACCACAGGAAGAATGGCTCAAATGCAACAGGAAGCATTTCACAAGGCAGCCAACCACAGCACAGCTGGCCATGAGAACAATGTTCAGACAGGTCCCACAGCAACCCAATGCTGGGGTCCCCACACTGAGCTGCACCTCAGCGACAGGCTACCAAAGTTATCTGGGACAGTCGGAATCACAGGGAAGATGGTGGTGTTTAAAATAGCTTCAACCCCAAAGATGTATGGGGGGAAAAAGAAGACAGAATTCTGTTTGATTTGAAAATATGCTGCATTTTCTTTAAAGGAATGTAGAATCTTCCTCCAGGAAGCCACCTGCCCTGGACCATTGCCTCTGGATCAGATTTGCCTGATGGGAGCAGTGAGGATGAAGAGAGATAGCGGGAAGGGACTGCCACTTGCCAAGCTTAACACTTGCCTGACACTAAACTATGTTTAAATTTTTTTCCCATGTTCTAGACAAGGACACAGTTCTACTCACTGTCTGGTCACCTTCCATCTCCCCTACCTGTGTCCTGATGTTGTAGAAACCCACTGGCTCTCCAGGTGGAGAATCTGCCATTCCTAGGGACACAGTCTCTAAGCTCTATCCGACTTGATCCTGAAGGCCTGAGACCTTGCCTTTCAGCGTCCATACCCTTTCTAAAGTTCTTTAGGCTACCATGACATTGAGCTGCTCTGCAATCATGTTAGCAAATTAAATGTCACACATCTCCAAAGTTATTAAAATCTTATAGGTGTAGAATTCAAAGCTTTAACTGGGCACTGTGATACATACATGCCTATAAGCTCCATACTTGAAAGAAAGAGAATCAGGAGTTTAAGGCCAGCCTAGACTACATGAGAAGCTGTCTAAAAAACCAACAAAATAGAACTTTTAAGATACAAGTGTAAGTGAGTTAGTTATTGGCAATGGTCTCAAAATAAAACACAACAAACAAAACCCGCAAAGTTGACAGACTCCTTCTCCATCAGCTGGTCGAGCATGGAGTCTTTTCAAGAACTCTTTACTCTGATTTTACCAAGTATGTTCCAGTAAAATTTCTGCTTTGTTTGTTCTAAACCTAAGCACGTCCACATGTTAGGGATTAAGTTGATGGGTTACTTTTAATGTCAGGAGAGCAACGGTATAGAAATGATGATTGGGATGCAAGGGGGAAAAGGGGAGAAATGGGTGCCCCCTCCTCCCCTGTACTGTCCTGTGACTTCCAATTTCAAGTGAACTACCCAAGACTTCCATCACATAGGCCTTGCTCAGCAGGAAGGTATACCAGAAGTCCCAGTGCAGACACTAACTTTCCGAGTCAGGGGGTGGCAGCTGTCTCCCACTTGGCCCATGGGTGTGCAGATCCTTATGCTCTTAACCCAGATACTGACAGCGCAGCACATGCCTCCTCCACACTGCGAGTCTTTGTCGCAAGCCTGAAATGAAATAAACCAACAGATAAATATAGAGAGCAAGAAAGGCTCAGGCTCATGAATTCTAAAATTAGCAAGGAAAATCCCCTTTAAATATCCGAATGCCCAGCCAGTAAAGCACTTGCAACACACACATGAGGACACGAGTTCAATTCTTAGAACCCATCAGAAAAGCCAGACATGGTAGCTTGTGCTTGCAATCCCAGCTCTGGGAAGATGGAGCAGGCTAATCCTTGGGGCTTGGTGGTCAACCAGTCTAGCCAAATTGGGACATTCTAAGCCACGTGAGAAAAAATAAGGTGGACAGCACTGGAGGACAGCATCTGTACTTAATGTCTGGCTTCCACACACATGCCCATACATGTGAACACCTCACCCAACATGTATGCCTACACACATATAAAAGTATCCCAATGCAGTGATTTTTAATAAACTAGAACCATAAGCTCCATTTGCTTGTATACACCTGCAATCACATTGATCAGAATGTCTCCATGGACTAAAGAGCTCCGGTATGATGAAAGCCAGGATTAAGAAGCAAGGAGGGTGGGAGGGGGACAACATGTCGACTCTCTTCTTCTCGTGCTTTATGGCTGAACGTAAAGAATGTGCTTATGCTGGCCCTGCACTATACACAGCCATTTGGAACTGCACAAATCAAATCACAAGATTTTATGACTATAAACTGCTGACTATATGGGGCCTAGTTTTAAAAAAGACAGGGATGCAGTCTGCAAATCTGGCACAAACTGCCGCAGACCTGTAAAGGCACCGATGCGACGTTTAGAAGTGCTCGTTTTCCCCTTCAAATATTTGCCCTGTGCTTTGTGAGACTGGGTGCTGCTTGCTGGGTACCCTGATTTTCATCATTTCCTCTTTCAAAATAAGAACTCTTCAAGGGTGGGAAGGGACGGACCAAGACTTTTGCCCCATTCCAGTCGTTTTTCAAGTGAATGACATGCAGAAAGAAACTGACTGCTTAGAATCGGCAGATGCGGACATCAGAAACTCAGTTGAACTAGTCACAAAAGTCCTTTAGGTGAGACAGGCACAGGGCAACAGAGGCAATTAGCAGTGGTAATTTCTCAAAATACACACCCAGCATGCATAAACTACAAGTGCATACAGCCAAAGAATCAGTGTGGAGGACTTCCCATGTGGCAGTAGAGAAATGGAACCCAAATTTATTTGCATGAAAATGTATCCTAAGAACTATGGCTCTTTCTTAGAGACAGCAACAACAAAGTGATATTTTGTTTCAGCAACGTCTAGCAATCTGTTGTTCAAAATAAGTAGTGGCTTATTTAACTTTGGGTGACTTTTCTTCTTTTATTATAGGATGATGTTTATACATTCTCGCCTTCGGATTTTTGTCTGGACACCGGAAATCATGCAAACATGACCATCATAGTCCTTAAGTGCTAGATCTACTCAACAATCTTCTGCAATATGGTTTTACTACATCTATATGAAGATATCAAGTTCAAAGACTGTGTGTGTGCGTGCACACGTGTATGTGTAGTAAAGGACTCTAAATTCTGAAACCCCAACAGCTTTTTTTCAAAGACCATAAAAAAAACCTCCAGAAAATTCTTTTAAAATTCAATCAATCTCTTAGATGTTTATCACCCTGTATACATTTTCTCTAGAGAAATCACTGACTTTTTCATTGGAATCCAGATGGTTTCTGTCAGGGGGACCCAACTATGCTCTATTGCCATGTTGCTTTAGAGAAGTTTTTCCAATACTCTTTTCATAACAGTGAATTAACAACAAAAAAACAAGAGTCCGCATGACTGTACCACCCCCACCCCCGAACCCCACCAGCATGTAAACATGAAATGAGATAAAATTTCATTTCATAACAAAAAGCTTCAGCTGGAAATTTACAGAGAATTGCCTAAGTTTATATCTTTTTAATTAGACAGCTGTTTCCTGGTACCCTTTATTCTCCTTAACCCATTGCGGAGCCATGCAAGCAGTGTCCTGTGAATGGAAGCGGGCAACACTTGCACTGCCCAGGAACCTTGGGGGCTTAGAGGATTAGGAAACACTTAGAAAGAACCAGCAGGGGAAGGAGGGAAAAACCCACCCAATCATGTTTCCATTCGCATGTGTTACAAAGACACCTTAGAGACTTTTGTTCACACACACACCAACTGGCTACTGATGAAGTTTTAGAAATGGTTTTAACAATCTCAGCTCTAATAAATAACACAAGGCATAAAATCAAATATCTATGGGGCATGACTCAATGCTGCCATAGTCCCAGAGCTTTCAGAATGCAATCTGTACCCTGAGAAACACAGAGAAACCCATCTTCATTTATTCAACATGATGACCCTTTTTTTAAAACGACATGTTATTTTATTACCTGTATGTCATGGTTCCAAACACATCTATATTAAAATCAAATGTGTTCTTAGATATTAAAATTGATTTAAATAAATATGCTGACAACTTTTTTTTCTTTAATGAATGAAACAACAGTGAGGGTTCTGCTGGGTTATTAAAACAGACTTCTGAAATGGGTGATAAAAAAAGACAGACTTCCGAAATGTGTTGTGAACTCTCTCTTGAGATAGACAAAGAGAAAACTCAAGAGTCAATAGAGTTGAAGGAATGGGCCGTTTCTAAACATGATGAAGACAGTCTCTAGTGACAGCTTGCTCCATCACTAAGCTCCAGGAGGGACGTATCAGGAATCAAACTTGACAATTTATCCAAGAGGAACTTCACGACGAAGAAGGGGGGAAAAGACTTAAAAATAAAAGAGCAGCTGCCCAGCAATCCAGTAAAAGAGCCTACAGTTGCTTTCCAAAGCTCACACAAGGCCGCGACCCAAGGTACTTCACAGGGTAAGGCCCACCCAGGAGCTGTGGACTTTTAGGTGCATGTCCTGCTCTTTTGCAATTTAAGGAAATGCGATCAGATTTGGGGGTTGAGGATTTCCAACCCCTGAAAAAGAACTTTCTCACAGTGAGGGTGGGGGTGGGGAGAAACTTCTTGGCGCTACTAAATAGAACAGCAGACCAAACCCAAGGTGCGGGAGGGAGAGGTGAGGAAGGCGCTGCTGAGGGAGTTTGATTCCTTAGTGCTCCTGGCTGTTCCCTGCCTTGGGAGCAAGACACACGTTCCCAAGTGGCCAAAGGGAAATCCGGGAGAATGTCACACCGGGCACACCCTACCCGGTGCCTACACACCCCGGGCCTGGTGTCCCGGGGCGATCCGGCGCGACAGGTGCGCGGGCAGCTTACCCCGGTGATGACCGCGGCATCCCCGGCGGGCGGCGTGAGCAGAGGCGACAGCAGCAGGAGTAGCAGTAGCGGGGCACAGCGCGGGCCCCCCATGGCGTCCCGGGTACACGGTGGCGGTTGGGGCACGCGATCGGGGACGTTGGGGACGCGTGGCCGCGCTGTTCTGCCGAGCCGCGAGCCTGGCGGCAGTTATAAAGGCGAGCCCCGCGGTGACTCACGCCCGGCAGCACGCGGGGGGCACGGCGCGGGCACATACCCCGCGCCCCACGCGCACACGCGCGCACGTGCCCCCACGCCCCACGGGCACAGGCGCCACGCGGGCAGAGCCCCCCGCGGGGCGCCGCAGCCTCAGCCACCCTTCCTGTTGCTTTTGTAGTCTCTGAAACCCTCCTCCTTCGCTGTCCTGCTTTTCCAGAGCTCCACGTGCTCAGCCCCCACACTCTCAGAGCACATCATTTGCTATACAGATGTGCAGAGGGTGCCCACGACGTGCCGGGCGCGGAGGACACAAATGCCCTGTATTTGTGCGCTTTTGTTCAGCATGTCTACAGTGAGCGCTCCGTGAGTGCCAGGTCCTGCCGCCGGCTCTGAACTGCGGTGGCATAACTTCGAAAGGCCAGACAACAAACAAAAACACAAAGCGGGAAGCGTGGAAGGACTCTTCCACGTAGAGTGGAAGAACAAAGCACCAAGCACACCCCAAACCCACATCTCTTGCGAAGTGGAGGGCCTCGGCTGCCCCTCCAGCTGTGGAAGCCTCATTTACTTTTTTGAAATGACTTCCCCTGGTGCCCACATCTGTTCCTGACCCTCTCTGCCCTGATTTCCCTCACGTGCGTGTGTTCCCTCCCCTCTGCAGCTTCCAGCCAGCTTCAGGCAGAACAGGACGCTGCCAAGGGGAAAAAGAGAACTCCCAATTTGTTCTGCCAGCCTGAGGCCCTGGGAAGGAGGCCCTCTACAGCTTCTCTTCTCCAGCTCAGGAAACGCAGGTCTTATAAGTGATGCCTTGGTTCAGGTCACTAATGGCTGTGTATCTGCTGGATTCTACACTCCGCGAGACAAGAGACAACTTTGCCCTCTGAATCCCTAATGTGGCTCCATAATCTCATTTTACTTGCTTCTAAAGGATGATCAAACTGACTTGTTCTAGCCAGGCAGTGGTAGTGCACACCTATAACCCAATATTCTGGAGGCAGAGGCAGGCAGATCTCTGAGTTCAAGGCCAGCCTAGTAGACCTCCCAAGTTCCAGGACAACCAGGACTGTTGCACAGAAAAATTCTGTCTCAAAAAAGCAAAACAAATTGCCTTTTCCTGAGGTTTGGGGGAGGGGGGCTCCCACCTTACTCCTAGAATAGGTGGGACCTCAGATTTTTCCCATGTCTCTTAGGACCACAGACCGCTGAAAGGCAGATGGACCTTTTCAGCCTCTTTAATCAATACAGTAAGGAGAGCTGGGCCAGTTACTTTCAGACTGTGGGCTCCCCCATGCCAAAGCATTCAGACGAAATGTAGAGGGGGAAAAAATGAACAAAGGGCCAGGGAATTATTTGAATGTTAAACAGCTGGGTATTTCAAACCCCAGACCTTTGGCTGAGTTTTAAAGCCTTTTTGTATCCATGTTTTCAAGTTCAAGAAGCATCCTGAGACTGAAAACACAAACGGGATCAAACTGATTTTTAACTTTGAGAAAACTGTTAAAAAGTGGATTCACAGTAAAATAAATGGAAACAGTAGCAAGTGACAGGCTGGCGGAAAGTTTTCCTTTTCCAGTCACCATGCCAACCAAGGCATGGGAGTGCAGCCCGGGGAAGGGGGGAATGTAAAAACCAGTCAACATGGACTTCAACATTCCTGCCACTTTTTTTTATGGCCGGGTTTATATTTGTTACTTTTGAATGCCAACTGGGTATTCCCTACTTTTCCAAGCATAAAATCCAGGCCATTTCTACACAGGGAAGTACTAGCCTTCCATTGTGATTGGCTTCTTACAGGGCTGTTTGCAAAAACCGACATCTAAGACTGTTAAATCAAGGTTGGAAATGCTTCAAAATACACTTGGTATGGGACTCTTGCTTTTCTATGCTGAGATTGGAACCAAGGGTACGGACACCCCAGGCAAGCCCTCTACCACTAGGCTACACCCTGAACCTCTTTGGAGACCTCTTAACGGCTTTAATACTTTAGAGAAGAAATGAAAACGCTTCAACACAGCTTCTTTGGACCAGCAGGCAAGTGATCAGATCAAGTCTGATTACAACTCTTAGACAAGGAAAGATGCAGTGATGGAGCAACACAAAAACTGAAGCTCTGCTTCGCTGCTGCAACCTCAATCTGTCGTTATGATCAGTCACGTGGTCAAGTTCGCCAGGAACGACTGCTGGATGAGGTCCAAAACTTGGGGTTTCAGTGTGTAGACTGGCAGCCTAGCAGGCCACCACTGCTTAGCTGATTTGACGGTGTGACAACAGTGTCCAAAGACCTCCATATTTGAGAGTAAGAGTGACCTGGATTGGAGCCTTTCTTAGCAACCAGACTGCCCTATGACCCCTTAAAGTCTATTTTGTTTCCTATGAAATGAGTATAAGATACCAGCTTCCTGGGGTCTGGCCGTCATGGGGCTCAAAGGGAACCCCTGTAAAGTGCTCTGCACTGAGTCTGGGATAGATTGGGGGGCATGCAAAGGGGACCTCTCGTTAAATCTGACAGTGTGTTGTCTGATAGGTTCGTTGAACACGGATACTGCTGTTTTCTGTCCTGCCCACTTAATTAGACCGCATACACTTGCTGCTAGGAGCCCACTTTCCTGAAAGTCCTTCTTGCATTAGCCAACACTTGAACAATGAGTAACAGCAGTTACACAGCAACAGGAGTACATCCCATTTGCAGGGACAGAGACGGGTTACAAGCCAGTGGCACACAGTGCAGATGCATCCAATCTATACGGACCACGAAAGCCAGCAGCAAAGGCTAAGGCGAAAAGAGACCTGGTGCAGGGATTCACCTGCTGTTTCCTCCCAGAATATGGGACTGGACTGAGGTGACCCCAGAGAAGTATACTGCCTTACAGCTGTCACACATCTGATCTACAACAGTCACTCTGGAACCTCAGCTTTATTTGAACTGGTTTATTATTTCCAACCTATGTAACATTAAGTATCACCTAGAAAGTTATGTTGAAATTCTAGACCCAGGTACCTGTGTCTTTATTTGGAAGTAGGATCTTTGCAGATACAATCAACCAAACTTGAAGTCATATTAGCTGAGCATGTGTCCTAAATCCAAGGATTGATACCTTTGTTTAAAAAAAAAGGTGTGTGTGTGGGGGGGGTGTGCATTTGTATGTGTGTGGGTCCATGCACACACAGCACATGTGTAAGGTGGCTTCTACCTTTTGTCTGGAACAGGGTCTGTCACTCGACTGGATCCAGAAACCTGTTGAACAGTTCCACACAGGTCAGGTTAGCTGTGAGCCTCAAGGACTCTGACTGGCTCAGCCTCCCATTTTACCACTGTTGGGATTCTGGACTCGTCACCACACCTGGCCTTTATATGGGTTCTGGAAACTGACCTCGGGATATCATGTTTGAGATGCAATCACTTTGCTGACCAAGCTATCTCCCTGGCTTTTGTGATAGGCGAGAGATACTGGATACAGAGACTGATGTGACATATCTGCCAGCCCTCCTCCCCCATAGCTAGCCTCCAGAACCCAGAAGACTCAGGAAGAGAGCATCTTCCCAGGCTTAAGGCCCTGCCAGCACCTTGGTTTTGAACTTCTAACCTCTACAACTGCAAGAAAATAACTTCTGATGTATGAGGTTATTTTCTGCTCACTTCTCCCAGCGCCTCTGGGAAACTACCCAGCTGGGTGGGGCAGGATGGTTGCACAGCACCTTGCTTCTGCCTTTGCCTGGAACTCAAGGCTGACGGCGTGATGACTAAAAGAGGTCACGTGACAGTTCACCTTGCTGAGGACAAGCAGTACCAATGTACTTTGTGCTGAGATCCAGAAACCTGGTGAACAGTGCCAGGTTCTACAAGAAAGGGGCAGACCCTTTAATGAGTTCAGTGCACTTTGAGCAAGCCTAGAAATTCCTATGACAAAGGATAAGGGGTTTCTGTGTCCTTTTTTTTCTTGTTCAGTCCTTCAAGTGACACAGTGTGGAAGAGTACCAACGTGCAAGCTGGGAGCATTTGGTTTGAAGCAGGCAGTAAACCGCCACTCGCTCTCTCCCTCGACAGGTACTTACGACGCACAGACTGTAGAGCCCTGACTTGGCGGCTCAGTAAGTACATCATTTGCTGACCAGATTACTAGGAATGTGGAGAGGAGCGTGATGGATGACTAGAGTATCAACCCATCTCCTGGCGGGAGAGAAGGGCAGAAACCTTGTTGGTAGTCAGGAGGAGGAGGCAGGGACGTGTAGTGAGTAGGAAGGAGGGAGGAAACTCAAGACTCACTGTGTGAACGGGCTGACAGGAGGGAGGCTGGAGCTCACATGGGTGTGGGCAAAGGCGGGCAGACAGACAGGGTGAGGGGAGCCGCTGTGCTAAAAACAGAAATTGCTAACCAGTGGTTTGTCGGACTTTAAAAAATTCCCATTCCATATAATATAGCCACAATGACTAAGATTTAGGAAGGAACTTGGAAAACTGTGATCGATTGTCTGTTTTTTGGTGTTGTTGTCTGTGTTTTTGTTTTGGGGTTTGGGTTTTTTTTTTTTTAAGTTTTACCAGGACCCAGCCATGCTTGTCTCTGCATTGCCTGTGGCCTCTTTTTATTGAGTACTTGGGAGACCACATGTCCTGAAAAGCCAAACATTTTCTCTCTACTTCTGAGAGAAAGCTTGCTGACCTCTGGTTTGTTGTTTGTGCAGAGGGTTGCTGCAGATGCGCATGTGTTGTTTGTGCAGCGGGGTGTGCTGCAGATGCGCATGTGTCGTTTGTGCAGAGGGTTGCTGCAGATGCGCATGTGTCGTTTGTGCAGAGGGTTGCTGCTGATGCGCATGTGTTGTTTGTGCAGAGCGGTGTGCTGCAAGTGCGCGTGTGTTGTTTGTGCAGCGGGGGTGTGCTGCAGATGCGCATGTGTTGTTTGTGCAGAGGGGGTGTGCTGTAGATGCGCATGTGTCGTTTGTGCAAAGGCATGTGCTGCAGATGCGCATGTGTCGTTTG